TTACAGGCTATCAAAGCAGAAGCGTCCCCCTGCAGATAGGCCATGAAGTCCGTAGTGAGGTCCTCACAAAGGGGGGAAAATCCACACAGCACGATGGGACACTGCAATCCATGACTTTTGATGCAGGAAAATGAAAGCTACTTCCAGTTAGCTTTCTTTTTGCATTTCAGGTGAAACGGGCCTCTCCTTATAGGTGTGTAAACCCAGGGGGTAGAGACCAATTGATCTTGCGCTCTGACTTTTAAACCCGCTCTACCCCTAGGAATTCATGGATTTTGGGTCAGGTGATCGAAATAATCAAGGACAGCAGAGGATATGTTCTTCAGGCAAAGGTGAAGACCAGTCGGCCTATTTCTAAGCTTTGCATGCTGCTTGAGGCTGACATGTAGCTGTTTTCACATGTCAAAATAGAGACAGCGGTAAAGGTCTGTCTCCAACGTTGGACTGCCTTTTTTAGCTAAATTTTCAATTCAATTCAGTTTATTTATATAGCGCCAAATTCACAACATCATCATCATCTCAATGCACTTTACAGTTCAACCAGATCATGCAGTCAAATTGATACAAAGTTTTCTATCTAAGGAAAACCAGTTGATTGCATTGACTCAAATACAATCCCTCACACTAAGCATGCTTGTAGCGACAGTGGAGAGGAAAAACTCCCTTTTAACAGGAAGAAACCTCCAGCAGAACCAGGCTCAGTGTGAGCGGCCATCTGCCGAGGCTGACTGGGGTTCAAGGAGACAGAAGCAGCTGTAAAAGGCGGCCCCGTCCAGGAAACACACAGCCAGGCAGACGAGCTCCAAGGCAGCTCCCATGCCAGAGGACGAAGAGAGCACATCCACTCAGTCACGGTCAGAAAAACAGGACCACACAGGAAAACAGGCCGATCTCCAACATCTATAAACAAGGGTGTTGATGGAAGCAGCACAGCTGATGTTTCTTTCCAGGATGATGTCACTGCCAAACAGGAACAGACGAGGCAAAGCTACTCTGAGGAAAAGCAGAGAGAGCAGAAGGTTAGAGATTGAACTAACAGATTCTGCAGAATAGGAGAACAGAGAGAGAATGAAGCAGAATGATGAAATGGGGGTCCCTATGTCCTCCAAAAGTCTAAGCCTATAGCAGCATAACTATAGAGATAGCTCAGGATAACCTGAGCCACCCTAACTATAAGCTTTATCAAAAAGGAAAGTTTTAAGTCTAGCCTTAAAAGTAGACAGGGTGTCTGCCTCACGGACTAAAACTGGTAGTTGGCTCCACAGGAGAGGAGCCTGAGAACTAAAAGATCTGCCTCCCATTCTACTTTTAGAAATTCTAGGAACCACTAGTAAACCTGCAGATTGAGAGCGAAGTGCTCTGTTAGGAACATAAGGAACAATCAGATCTCTGATATAAGATGGAGCTTGGCCATTTAAGGCTTTATATGTGAGAGGGAGGATTTTAAATTCTATTCTTGATTTAACAGGAAGCCAATGAAGAGAAGCCAGGATAGTAGAGATATGATCTCTCTTTTTAATTTTCATCAGAACTCTGGCTGCAGCATTTTGGATCAGCTGAAGGCTTTTAACTATAGTTTGTGGACTTCCTGATAGTAAAGAATTACAATAGTCCAGCCTTGAAGTAACAAATGCATGGACTAGTTTCCCTAGTTCACCCCTAAAGTAATTATATGGACTTTGCTTTACTTGTTCTTAAACAAATTTTAATTATACGACTCTAAGGACATTTAAAATAATGTATTGTTGTTCACAAGAACAATTAGGGGCCGGGATGTTAGAGCCATATTGAAATTATGTATATCTCTACGTTATATCTGATTTAGTCATTGAAATATACTGTTTATTTTATTAAGCATTCAGTTATATTTTGTGGTTATGTTATATCACTTAATTAGGCTCTTTTTAATGTCCTGTGTTAAGGTCACTTGCACAGTTTTGCTTTAGGCGTGTGCATGGCAGCGCTTTAGAAGTTTTAATGGAGCAGGACTAGGCTTGGGAATTGATATGATTTCACGATTCTGATTCCCTTATAGATTCTGTGAAATGATTTGATTCCTTATCGATTCTCTTATCAATTCCGTTTAATGAAAAAGCATTTTCAGGAAATAAGCTCATCTCCCCCTGATTTACATAAACGAGCGTCACCTTTCTCTCGCTACTTGAACAGCAGAGCAACTTCGTAGCATATTTTGTTACATCCACTGCAATAGCTAAAATCATGTAAGAATTCGTGCTACCAGAAGTGCTAATTAAACATGCTAGCAATGAAGGGCTGGATTAATGAGATAGACACACTCCCTTAATAACCCAAAAGACAGGTAGGAAATGGGTTTACTTCCAAAAATGACATAGGATTTCCTAGGAACCACATTAAGCACAATGATATAAAACTAGGTACTTACCACCAGAGTTGCTTTCCATGCTGCTTGAAACTTTAGCTTCTGTCCGGAAGCGTTCGTTAAAATGTATGCCATGTTGTGTGCGCAGGTGTTTCTGCATGTTGGATGTATTTCGTCCCGCAGATGTAATTGCCACTTTAAATCCAAACTTTCGATCGGTTTACCTGATGGAAAGCCATTTTTTTTTATTTGCTTTTTTTTTACGCAGACTTTTGTTTGCAACGTGACGTAACTTACGTAGAAAATGTGACGTAAGTCGAGCTGCCCAATGCTGGGCTGCCTGGAACCGGGATTTATTAGATGAGACAGACCACCATTTTTTTTTCAGTTTTTTTCAGCTTCAGTTCTTAAGAAAGGTTTACAAGTCAGAAACTTCATGTCCTGCAAGAGTGATGAAGCTAATTTCGGATGTCAGGAAAGAAATTTTGTAAAAGCCCACCAGGCAATATGTTATTGCCCGTTTAGATATTCTCCTATAGATGAGTCATGTAAAGGAAGTCAATCTATCAGCAAGCATTTACTTCATTGCAAGATGCAGAAATGAATGTAAATTATAGAGCTATTAAGCTTTTCTCTGCATCATTGGAAGTCTATGGAAAATGGAAAAAAAGTAAAATATATTGTCGATCACTTTACCCTTTACTGACTGCTGCCTCCAGGCGGTTTCACCTTGCAACTTCTTGTTCCACTTCATCTGCACTGCAAGTCTCTTTCCCATTTATCTTCATGAACCACTAATTTGACAATAATCAATATCCACACCTAGTCTGCATGTGCCAACCGGGATAAATCAGGGGGTTCCCACTCTAGATTACTGATGTCTCAGCAAAATCAAATTTCTCGTGGTGATATTTACAACCTTCCTCTCAGTACTTTGAGAGACCCCTCTGGGAATTACCCCTGCGTAGGGTCTTTGGTTCTCAAGTGGAAAAAACTAATCTACCTTTTTCCCTAGTAAAAACTGTTGCCTCTATATTAATTTTAAATCTAAAATATTTGAGCCATGTCAACTGAAGATTTCCCGCTGTCTTGAAAACATCAGTTCGTAATATCCTGCTGACAACATTTAGTCAGAAGTCTTCCATCCTCCATCTATTTGAGTTGAGGCCAGGAATTAATCCCAGGTTAATAAGACACTTCTGTGTTAACTGCTCCCAGAAGAATCAGTCAAGGGGATCCTCCTTTGACAATGCCAAATTGTCATGGGAAAAAATTATTCAACTATTTACTCCAGTCAGCATTTAATTTATCTTTGCAAAGAGAGAACAAGACATCATACAGCCCTTAGTGCATGGTAAAATGCCCTGTTCTGATCTAGCCAGAGTTTGTCTTCCTAACTTTCAATGATGGAAATACTGAAGGTTGTGTCGGAGTGAAAACACATCTCTACCCAGAGCAAAAAAAAAAAAAAAAAAAAATGAAATAGAAACAAAAAAAGTCTAACTTTTTTAGAACTATCCCATATTATGCACTGCAAAAAATGGAAATCTAAATAGGTAATTTTTGCTCATATTAAATGCATATTTTCTTGAATTGAGGATGTAAGTGAGACATTTTGCCAATGGAACAAGACATTTTACATCTAAAATAAGAAAATAACAATTGTATTGTCTTATTTCAAGTGTATATTATCTAATTATCTTATTTTAGGAGTAAAAATACTCATTCCATTGGCAGATCATCTTATTTACCTGCTCAAATTAAGGGTAAATACATTTAATTTAAGACATTTTTACTCATTTCTAGATGTTTTTTTGCAGTGTTGCCAAACACCCCCTAATAGTATAAACAGACATGTGTCCTTAGAGCTCCGAGGCCGAATAAATACAACTCAACTCTCATAAATCCGTGCATATATGCCTTCATAAATATATGTCAAAGAGAATTAATAGAATATTTTTTCCTTCCACATGTGGGAAACTTTTTAAGTTGCATTCACACACAACGTGAAACCTGCGAAAAGTTAGCATGTTTCGTCGGCTTTGGTGCACCTAAAATTCGCCTTGCCAGCGAAAGCGTTTCACAGGGTAGGCAAATTCGTCTGTTAGGCCAAAGGCTCCTATGTCATGGAGTCTGCTGGTCGTTGGTTTAACCTCATCATGGCAGACATAGATTTACAAAGCGCCAAAAATTTTATTTTTTTTTTTTACTTTAGGGAGCCGAACCAAACCGTCAGATTCACCAAATTCCCTTAGACTGAACCAGTATGGGGATTACCAAAACCCTCCAGAGGCTAGGTCTGAATGACGATCGCTTTCAGTGGTACTTTGGGGCTCTGCTGTCCTACTTTGGGGAGCAAATCTCTCAGACAACAGTGGGTTAGATGAGACGCAGCAGACGTAGCAGTGGTAAATTAGTGTGAGAACACCGGCAGAGAAAATAAAAAGCGTAATTCATCTTTCTAAATTTGCCACCTTTGCCTAACTCGGCTTCACTCCAGATTCGCCCTCTGTGTAGAGATAAGGAATTCTTCCCTCCAGCTCTAAAATTCATGTTCGATGTGAAAAAAACCTTTAAACGTCATATGCGATGTTAAGGCTTAGGAGAAATGATTTGTAAATTGTGACTGTAATGATTTTTTTCACATCAACCTTTTTAGGTAGGAGAACCATTTTGCCTTGATGCTAATCTCTTCGGCAACATTGGTCGCTTTATCAACCATCTCTGTGAGCCCAACCTGATAGCTGTGAGGGTATTCACCATTCACCAAGACCTGCGCTTCCCAAGAATTGCCTTCTTTTCAAGTAAACCAATCAAAGCTGGAGAGCAGATTGGGTAAGTTTAGAGCCGAATCATTTAAAGGCTTTTTATACTCGATTGTGGCATGATAAAGCTTCTTTCTCACTAGGATTGACTATGGAGACAACTACTGGAGGGTGAAAAGCAAGTACTTCAGCTGCTTGTGTGGCTCTCTGAAGTGTCATCACTCAAATGCAGGCAGATAGAAGATATCCAATGCTGTCTATATCAATACATTCTGTATTTGAGAGCTGTAGAGTTGTGTACTGTACCGGCCCTGGTCTGGCTTGTTGAATGTTTAGAGCTAATCTTTTTTCTCAGTTTATAAAGACAAGTAAATTTCTATGCAAACTACAAGACTGAACTTTTGTGATCTTACAATACTTAATTCTTGTTTTAGTTGCCCTTAAGTTCTGTGCTGACATAGTTAGAAATAAATACGGAAATATATAAATGCTAAATAGATAAATAGGCATGCAGTTAGATAGGCAAAAAATACATCAAATGAATAAATGCAAGCATTAATTGAATTATACAATAAGAAATGCATGTACACATTTTTAGTTAGCTTATTTGATCACTTCTATAATAATTGCCATATTTATTTAATATAATAATTTTCACCTTTACCATTTAAATACTTTTGTATGTATTTACTTCCTGTACGCTCTTATTTTTATTTTTGTTCTCTTATTTTTGGCTTTATTTCTTCTATGTTTTTTACTCTATTTCCTTCCCCCTATTTATTTTTTTCCTGTCCTTTTTCCGTTTCTGTATACATTTCTGCAATATCATGTAAATGAAGAGGGGATGGTCTTAAGGTGACAGCTTTTGCCCACTGGTTAGACTCCATATGCTACCAGGCCAGCCAAAGTCACAACAAGAGATACCTACCTACGATGATGTTCTCAATAAGTCAAACTGAGGAATTTACTACTTTTTTGATAACAGCAGGCATAGGCATTCTGAAATCACCAAGTCATTGCAATTCTATGTATTTGTTCTGCCCAACCACTTAACCAGCTATTTTTATTTTAACTATGCTGGCTTGACTCACCTGGTACAGTGGTTGGGCATAATAAATGGTTACTTCACAATACCCATATCTGTAAAACAGTGATGGAATTCCTGACTATTTTTCTCTGACAGAACATGTTTCTGATACCTGCACACATGGACAATTTTAGTTATATGCAGGGCTATGAACTGGTTCAAGGAACGAAAAGAACACCATAAACGAACGGAATTTTACTTGCAACATAAACAGAAATGAAAACAAAATGGTCTTCAACTGTTCCAGATCAGAAACATTACTCTGAAATACACAAAACTGTATTTTTTCATTTCGTTTACAAAATTTCACAAAAACATAGCCAATGTCAGTGGGGAAAAAAAGACTATTTCCAGTTGTGCGTTCAACCCAGGCCACTGTCCCTATATCCTATTCCTTTTCCACTACCACTCAAGAAACATGCTGAGATGCAACTGAGCTATCATCAAACATAAACATAAAGTCCACAATTATAACGTTAACTTAGTAATTCACTATAAAGTTTGCAAATATATCTCTATTAGACATTTTTAGCTACAAAAAACGAATAACCATCTACACTGTTCATGTGAGCTAACAAGCCAACATCAGCTATAGCAATGCTTGTTACGGATTGAATGCTGAAATTTATTTTGGCTTTTACATGTTGTTTAGATTGGACAGAACCAGGAAAACCCGATGAGATAGTATTTCTAGCTTAATGTAGCATCAAATCGAGCTCCAAACACTGCTGGAACGATATTTTGCATTCCAAACCGATTCAGGACCAATATGTTGATAGCGGAACGCAAGAATGAAAACATTATACATACCTAAACCGTTCAGAACAGAACGATTGAAAGGTAATTTCATTTCCAAGCCCTGGTTGTATGTTATTCTCTATCATGCCTGTGACAGGGGTCTTTGCTCTTCGAGTGTCCAGGCTCAGACAGGTTATAGATGTTGGTGGTTTACAATGCTCATCAGTCAAAGCAGGGTGCCAAGGAAACTATATACATATTTACAAGGTCCTCTGGGTCTCAGCCTCCCTTCAGTTACCAGCAATGTAACATAGAAAGATACAATGACCGCCCTTCTACCCAAACCCCTTAATAGATATACATTTTTTCTTATTTCTTACAGTGTCCTGTCTGGCGATGTGGCAATAAAAATAATTGTCTTGATGCCAAAATGAGCTTTATTATAATTATGCAGGGAGTTTTACAGATTATATGGACACTGCAATGTAAGTAGAAGAGGAAAGAAAAACAGAAAAGAAAGGAGAAAAGATTAAAGAAAGAGGAGATAAAAGGGAGATGACGATAAAACATTTTCAGTCTGCTCCATCATCTGCAAAGAGATGTAAAAAGAACAGCGCAACCTATGGTACAAGATATACAATAAAGCAACACCTAGATACTATCACTGAAATATAAGTAATATTATTTAATCTGACATGTATTATATGTTACCTGAAGAAACAAATATGGGCTTTCTGTGTGGGAGTGAAGCTCTAAGAACCTCGAACCAAGCACCTGTAGTTGTTTGTGAATGTGCCCTTGTGCATGTAAAGTTTATCCAAAGAAAAAATACTCAATAGTGGTTGTGAAGAGGCACCCCCCACAGAACACAGATTCAATCACCAGGAGACCCAAAACCCCAGACGCCCAAAGGGACCACAAGAGCGATGGAGCCAAGGAGGGACCCACCCAAGAAATCCGACCCCCACCAAGGGAGGAGGAGAGACAGTCCCGAGGAAGTCCCCCAGCCACCGCAATGCCGGAGCCCCCGGGAGCCACGGGGATGAGTCCGCGGGTGTCGTGGAAATGTCCTCCCAACGACTTAAAATTGGTGCTAAGTCTTATAAAAATTCTAAGTTCTCAAAAAGCAGTAGAAAAGTCTTCAAACAATGATCAAAAATCAGGCAGAGGCATCTCTTGCAGGTCATGATGACATATTTTGCAATTAAATAAAAAACTCATCAGTCTTAATCATCAATATGTCAAAACAAAGTTTTCATCCAGTGTGACTTATGATTATAACATTTCATTAAAAAAGTCAGCATAACCTTGATGCTCAAAATTCCAGTAACACATCACTTGTATGTCGCTCAGTACCGCACAGTATCACTTTGAATATGACAACTCAATATATCACAATTAGCTCAGCTGGACTAAGTCCAATACTTCTGTCTCCCTCCCATTACCTGTCCTTTCCTCTCCTGATCTTCATACCAAACTTCAAAGGGCTCAGCTGCAGAAAGCCTTACCCCAGGCTCACACCGACTCCGGTCTTACCTTTGCTTTGGGTGCGGCGCAGCAGTGATTCCAAGTCATTAAAAAGACGTAAACCTCTCTCACCGGCTGCTGAGCTGTCCGGCTGCGGTTACCGAGCCCTCCGCAACAAGCTCTCGCAAAAATCCTTTATTTGGGCCGTGTTATCGCGTGAAGTTACGTGAACTCAAGTGAACTTCTGTTAAATCTCCGGACCTGTTGCCGCAGCCGCAGAGCCGCACCGCACCGTAGTCAAAAGGGCGGTGTGAGAGGGGGTGTGCGGGAGTTGCGGTCTCCGTCGGCTCGGTAACTGCACCGGAGCCAGTGTGAGCAAGGGGTTACACACACACTGCTCTATTTTTCTCCATATTGGAGCACACACTTTTGGACTCTTTGGCCTTTATAACATAAATGTATTTATTGTAAAACATTTATCCATTATATTCTAATCATTGGTGCAGCATTAATTCACTACATTTCCCCCCTGTGATCCTGAAAAGGATCACTAAGTGAATCTACAGGTGATTGTCACGGTGAAATACTATAAACGTGAAGTTTCAAAAGTAACTGATGTTTATATATTTTGCACACCAAACTAAAAGTGAGACTAAAACACACCATATACTTGTAGTGAGTGATATAAGATGTGGTGATTACATGATAAAGTGATAAAATGTAAAATTGGAGAACATCTTAAAACAAAGAGGGATCCCCCCCCTTTGGCTCACTTACGAGGACCATTCCTCTTGCTTACTTTTTTGTAGAAGGATTTTCAGTTATTGTTTTCTAAGCAGCAATGATACGAGGTAGGGGAATTCCAATGCCCAAGCAGCTTCATCTCCTACTAGGTCACTGCATCCCCCTCCATGTGGTGTCATTGCACACCCATAAATAATCCAAGAGAAACTCCATCATGCCTGGACTATGCCAGGCAAACACATCATCTAATGGTCAATGGACCGTCATTACAACCAACATATGAGTAACCATGTGGCACTCTCCTGCACAGTACTTGTACTGTCACATATTCAATTATTCTGTCAGTTATTTTTAGCATAGGTATTCATAATCATTAATAATCAGTATTGTCCTTTATATCCAGCATGGTGTTGTGGTTGAGATTAATAATAGTTCGGGCCTCCGTGGGGGTTAGCAAGCATCCCCCATGGTCTCGCATCGGTATTTCCTGGGGCTTGTGGCCCCGGCAGCTGCAGCAATGTAGTAGTAGTAGTAGTAGCCATGCGCCCTTGATCAGCGGTCAGCTGCAGCAACCTCCCTTCAAGGAGGATTATGGTCTGCCGTGCCTCTTGAAGTTGACGTGTCAGCTCCGCATTCTCTCGGGTCAAACGCTGATTCCTTCCCTTTTCCCTGGTTTTGTATATGCTGAGGCGAAGTGCCTCTATGGGACGCCGTGAGAAGGGGGGCTTCAGACTGTTGAGGTATATTACCAACATGGAGCTAAATCACTGGGCTAAACCATCCCCCTTGTTAGCGACCTGAAACCCATCCCCTCCTCTTCCCCACAAAGGAGAACAAAGCATTCCCACTGTGGGAGGCGGCCACCTCAAATGGACCAATCAGCCGAATACTCCAACAGGAAGTTCCACCCTGTCACTCATGGCACAGACAAATCAGCCGATACTTCCACAGGAAGTGCTCCCGTGTCACACATGGTTTAAAAGCCAGGCGCGAGAAGACTTCTCCCTCTATTTCCATAGGTTTGGAGCCCGTCAGGAGAGACTCGTTTCACGTGAAATACCAGAAGAAAGCTGACTGGAAGTAGCTTTCGTTTTCCTGCGTCAAAAGTCACAGATCGCAGTGTTCCATCGTGCATAGCGGCTGCGCCGACTGGGGAGACAGAAGCCTTTGAAGCTGACCGCGGAGTTTCGTTTTTTCCCTTCCTTGGAAGAATCGGCTGAGAGGACGCTCTCTAGCCGACCACCTCCTAAGATCACCTCCTAAAATCCCTCCTTTCCAACTTGTGAGCATATCAAGCCCTCTGCTGCAGCCCCGAACTGACCGAACTTTCCCGAGGAGTGGACCGGTGGCAGAGAACCCTATGCCCGACAGAAACCAAGCTGCGGTTGCCGTGGAAACGCCAACCTCCCTCGGACGACGCATCTCACAGTAAAATCAATTTACTTTCCTTTGATGCATCAGAATTGCTGTGCTCAGGCGAGAGAAAGACAGTTTAGGGTTTTGAATTAATGCTGATGTTTTTTTTTTATCTGTGCTGATTAAGAGTTTGTTCATTTGGTTGAAATAAGTGTGTGCTTCTTTATTTTCTTTCTTGGCTTTCCTGTCCTCTTTGTTGTTTCTGCTTTGAGATAGATATAAAGTTATCACAGTCAGCCATGTGGGGTCCCCGTGGTTGCCGCCATCTTGATTACAGGTCGCCCCCCCCATTTCTCTTTGTTCCCCTCACTGCGTGGAGAACAAAGGGGGGTGGTCCCCCATTTAGCTACACTCATTCACACACATCACTACATTGCCAGGCAAAAAGGGGTTTTTGCAAAAACGCTGCTATTGTTAATACATGTTTAATAATTTACCAATACTAAGCTGGATGTGTTAATGTTACATGATCAATTGCACTGTTATCATCATACCTGCTGCTTTGTTAATGCATTTAATCATTTGCTGATTTTAAGTTGGATGTATTAGTTTACATGAGCAATTGCACTATTATCATACCTGCTGCTAGCGGACATTAGTGAATGTATTAATATCTGGCATATTTTGGACAATTTCAGACACCAGTAAATGGACTCTTATGGTTTTATTTCTTTGTTTCTATCTCGTTTAATTCTTTATTTTCGATTTTTCTTTTAAACTAGTCATTTAATCTACCTCGTGTTTTTTTTTTTCTAGTAGTGTGTAGTGTTTGCATAGATGTTAGATTTCTGTAATCCTGAATTATTAGAATAAAGACATCATTGGTTAATCTGTAGTGGTTTTGGTCATTCATATAACGGAGG